AAACAGGAAAACTAGTCCGAAGTATCTACTCACTAGTCTGTTTTCACTGCCTTGTGTTTATAATCACACTCTTGCAAACTATTCTAACTCAAACTTTCAGGGAAAAGTTTTTAAATAAAGACTGAAAGAGAGTTTGTAACCTTAATAGTGGAGACGTTAAATTCATTCAACCGTAGTGTAGTTCGTTAATAGCCTACTTTTAGCTTTTTACTTCTGCTGAAAGTATGCAAGCTTGGAAATGTATGGAAGTTGTGTTCATTCGTGAAGATTATCATGATGAACAAAACGTGAAAGAATCATAAAGTTTTGTTGGTAACAGCTTATTTTCTGAAATGATCCAAAAGCCAATGGAAAAATCTTATTGGGTTTTTGTTGAGAATGTAACCGTAGAGTGATGCTAACTTCTGGATTGGCCAAAAAAAGTACAACATCACAACATCACTGCAGCACTCTATACATGCCGGTTAGCGTAAGTCCTTGGAGTCCTTCTTGGAGCTAATGAAAATCCATACCAAGTTCTGGCATGAAACTCTAGATGGCGTAGGCTGAGAGGTACCTCAATTCGCCTTTGGCTAAGCCACACCCTAGAATGTAGATTGACCAATCACAGCGCAGTCAAGAACGAGCTCCCACAGAGGTCCGACACTTTTTCACAGCGCTCCATTTACTTTAACACAGGCGTCTCATATTTTTGGTCTCGACAGGCTATTACCGTCGTAGTTTTATCAAAAATATGGTTAAACGTTGTGCCTGGGGCATATGTAACACAGATACGCGTTTCCCAGAGTGGTTGGAGGGGGGTGTGCGTTTTCTTCCCTTCCCAAAACCGAAGTCAAATCCTGACAAGTGTAGCACACACTGCTAATAAATACCACGTTATACTCAGGTAGTCCGTTTGCTTTGTAATAAAGATTATAGAAGTGAATAGAGACCTACCCAGCTTTGCATGAACAGATATTGTTAGTCCCAGCCTCCGTCTCGATTAGTAGGACATGCGGTTGTTCATTTTTTGACTGTGACCGCATACCGCTTTTGCCTCTATTTGGATGCCTTGTTGTTCCTTGCGTTTCACCTGTATGTCGTGAATATAGCCTTCGAACGTATATTGCAGCCCCTTTTGCCTACTTCTATCGGACACTTTATTTGCTGCTTTATAAAAGTTTGATAAAATTTCAGCAGGAAGAGCTGTCACAGCATAAGCCATGTTGATACCAGAGCCCAGATGAAGTTTGTTTGTTGGACGTAGCAACAGTAACTAAGGGGGGCAGGACTTAGCCAAAGGCGAATTTGGTAGCGATCGCATCGTCATTTACATAATGCAGCTGATAGGTTGATGTTGCATCAGCGGCTAATGTGCTACGGCTCAACATTCAAACACTGGTTGTGTTTGCTGTTAGCAGTCTGCAGTGCGCTTTCAGAAACCCTCCACCTTCCCCAGCTCCACCTGTATAGATCTGCTATGGGGGTTATCACATGCTCACAGCAGCACTTCTGTGAATGTATTGGCAGTAGCAAGTCTCGGTACTTGTTCTGCAGCAAGTTTTATTATACAGTATGTGGTTGTACATATTGCGGGAGTTCAGAACACTTTTGCTGAAGCAACCATGCCATTTTAGCTTGCTACTACAAACCTTTACTCTCTTTTATCGTGACTCGTGTTTCTCCTGAGCAAAGTTTTTCTATGTCAGAAGTCATAGATATGGAGCTGGTTATGTGATGCACATGACAAAATATATTCATTTACAAATGAAGCATTAGGGTACAAGTATTTAGAGGTTATAACAGTACTGTGCAAGGAACCGCGTGAAAAGAAATATTTACTTATTGATAATCTGTGCCTGTAATCATCAATTTTGTGAAAAGGTGTTTTACTGCCACAAGTGTTCATTTCAGCTGGAAAGCACAATGATGTTTTGTGTGATTAAAATGATCAGTTTGTGATTAAATAATCAGTTTTGGTCAAGTCAAGTGTCGAATAAGTTGTTGGATTGTATTTAAAGGAAACAAAGCCCCAAGCTGAAAAAACTACAGAGCCCCTACGAAAAGACTAAGGCAAATACTGCCACTAGACTGGAAAGGATGAAAATACTGAATATGGAATGTCTGGAAACAAAGTTGTGTTTACAAGATATCAGGTTATTTCTGAAAACAGATAGATACAAGCCCGATTTTAATTGGCGGAGCAGTGTTCGAAGCCATTGTAAAATACTATAAACACAATCATGATCTGATTACATCACTATTTCTGCGCCACTGGGTCTATGTGTAGCTTCAACCATTCTGCTAAACATTGCTGAAAAACTACATTGCTAGCTGGAAGAATTATTGTTATCAATAAATTATGCATAGTGATTGCTATCAGGATATGAGACTTTCAAACAGTATAACGAAAAAAGATTTCTGTAGAGAATCACCTATTGTACCTTTAAACAAAATGATATTGTATGAATACATACGTCTTGAAAATGTTCATATTTTATATTCTACTTTTATGATACATTATTGTTTTTTTTACTTTTGAAGCTTGAGAGCTCCAGTTCCCATTCATTTTCACTCCATGTAAAAGATCATCTGCAAAACAGCTCATTTTGTGTATCATAGAAAAAAAAGAATGCCATATGGGTTTGGAACAACATTAGGGTGAGGAAATGAACTATATGTAGGATGTTCTGTAAGATGATAAGCTTATTGAAATGGTTGACGCTTTGAATGTTTGTGAGTTTCTGCTGCCCCCAAGTGGCCCTTGAAGGCAGGCTACTAAAGAGGCTGCACAGCACTCATTCAGCTGCTTTGTTCAGCTGGTTTCCTTCAGAAACGGAATTGAGGTTCATCAGACCAGAGAATCTCGTTTCTCACAGTCTAAGATTTTTAGGCGTGTTTTTGCAAACTCTGAGTGGGCTTTAATGTGTCTTCACTGAGAAGTGCAACAGGAAATGGTGTATTGATCAACGCAACATGGCGCTAAACTACTTACCTCAAGCTCCATTTGCAAAATTGGCATGCCAAGTTGGCCTCTTTTCCCTAGCCTTGACCGCGTCTGTTTTCAGGCCTTCCCACTTAGCTCTCTCCAGCGCTGGACAGCTTTTCTAATATTAACGAGGGACCTAAAGCTCTTGCCTAAACATACCCCTTTTATTTTCCAGGTTTTCATGGTTTGTTGGGAAATTACAAACCTGCGCACACATATTCAAACGAATATAGCTATAGAATCAATTTTTAATGCGCATGTGAACGCCATCAGGTCACAGGTTCGCGTTTAAAGTCTGTTTAGAGAGAACGCCGTCGTCTTAGTGGCCCCTAATGTAATAAGAAATGATAATTTTGCTGGAAGTGAATCAATCAAAACCAACTTTAGCTGGAAATAACATTATTCAAAATCGCTATAAAGCCAAAACAATCTCTGTTACCGTAAATTGTATGTTTATCTCTGTAAAGCTGCTTTGAAACAATCTCCATTGTTAAAAGCGCTATATAAATGAAGATGAAGATGACTTTTCTCTTTTGTATTGTGTCCCATCTCTATTTCTGCAGTCTTTCTTCAAATCTCCCTCTTGATCGTTCTCTCTTCTCGACCGTCATACTGCTGATTGGCTACACGTTTGTTGTTGTGTCGGTCCGACTAACTTCCAGACAGCATATTTCAAAAACGACTTACCCACACACTCAGTGCCAAATATAATTAACAAATTTTATTAAATATTATTTAGCAAAAAGTATTACTATAATACACTAAGCAATGATAGGAAAATGCAGCTGTTGTTTATCTAATATGTGCCATATTTACAAACAAAAAAAATATTTAGCTAAATAATAACTAAACAGAGACGCACTTACACTAATTGAAAGATTTGTAATCTGGCTTAAACACAGAAAGATAAATATAATAGGGAGAGGCATTTAACAATATATTATAGATGCAAAGGAGGATAAAGGCTAGCGCTTTGATCATAAATGCCAAGTCATCCTCTCATTTGACTTTGATTTCACCTCACCATTTACTAACTGCCATGAAGCTGACAATCTGATCGTCTGCTTCCAGAAGAAAGACAAATGAGTATCAGCAGGAGCCAAATTGGTGTTCTCAGAATTATGATGAGTAATCAGAGACACACCTTCAATAACTCAAGCTGACAGCCTTATCCAGTCAGTCTCTGGGCTTTGAGCACAAGACAAACCTCACTTTAAAGGGGATGTCTAATGCTTTTTCATGCAAACTGACTTATGTACATTGTTACAGAGTTGGGTTCTCATGCTAAACATGGCCAAAGTTTAAAAAAAATGAGTAGGACGAATGACGAAGTATTTGTGTGTCAAATACACTCCTTCAGGGTTCGTACAAGTTTCGGAAAGTTTTTCCCGAGTATGGCTCTGTATGATGTCACGTCATAAAGGGCGGAATTCCTTGTATGGGCACTTCTGCCGGAAGAGCGCACGCACACATCAACCAGAGCGAGAGCAAGAGCAACGCCCATCAACGTGCTTTGTTCGGGTTACGGAAGTCATCGGCAGAACTTCACGTCACGCCTCCAGGAGTTTGAATGTTTTCGGAAAGAAGCGGTACAGCTGTATCTATCTTTTATAAATCTGATAAAACGAAAGACTCTTCTGAGATATGAAAGATGCAATACTACTCTTTAGGCAGTCAAGATTGACATGAGATTGGCAGAAACTGTGTGCGTTATGTCCCCTTTAAAGACACAAAAAATCAACTGTGTTCATCAACTATGATTTTAAAAGTCAACCATAAAGCACACTGATTCAGACAAGTTTGGCAGTGTATTTTAGGAGCTTGGAAAGAAGATTGCAGAGAGTTGCCTAGAGGAGCGATTCTCCATCGCAGGGCCAAAGACCACAAAGGCTAGTTGTACGAGCAAGTTAAAGAACCACTACTAAAAAATGAAACTCAATAATCCACTAATTATGAAAATGTTTGTAAAAATTATGTTACTTCTCTTTTGTAAGTTGCTTAGGTCAATCATTTCATAAAGCTTTGGACTCACCACGCTGTTGAGATCAGAGCCAAAGCTTCCACAGGGATGTCCAGAGTCTGCCAGTGCCTCCATCCCCTCTTCATCCCACATGTAAGTCCCTCCAGAGCTGTCTGAGGGCGACAGGTCCAGAGACGAGCCATGAGGGAAATCGCCTGTAGGAGATGTCCCATGTACAAAGTCATCTTTACCAGCTGAAAGACAGACAATAAAATGGGTAAGAAAGTGACAGAGAAATATATTTTAAAGTAATCTTAGTGACAGTATGGATCTTCTCAAATTGTTTAAAAATGTTAAAGCTAATTGACAGGATTTTAAGTATTATAGGCACATTCAAGATGGAATACTGTTCCATCATTATGCTGCCTTCTAAGGTACATTGTTTTGGCCAAAATATAAGGCAGCATCAAACCGTACATATACAGCTTTATACACTATGCATTTACAATATTGCATACAATTCTGAGAATTACTGATAAAAAATACATTGTTATATTGCAAGATGACAAAAATACTTGTACATACAAGTCAGGGGCATTTCCTCAGAGGAGGCAGTGCCTCATAAAAAAATTGAATGAGAAAATAATCCATATTATAAAAATAAAAATGCAAATATTACAAAGTGTGACATAAAAAAAAAAGTGTATAAATCCCTCGTTTTTCTAAAGTGACACTGTCCAACAGCGACAACAGCAGGTAAAGTTAAAGTCCGCATCTCTCTTGCCTTCTTTGAGCCCATTGAGAGTGGCGGAACTAGACTTTAATACATGGGGTGGCCAAGGCTACTTTAGGGGGTCCATAGACTGTGAAAGAATATCATGTTGTTTAGGCCCATGTGACATTGTATTTCTAATAAATAAGCTAACAAAATTGTAGAAACCAGTCAAAATTCGGCAGGATTTTGAACAGCCCTGCGCTTGTTAGTTGCAAAATACAAACGTTTAAGAATTGTTTATTCTTAATCGTCTGTGTTTTGCAAATAACATTAATATTCTCTTAATATTCAACATTAATACATTAACAATGTGCAGCAAAATAAATGCTTATTTCAAGAGGAGGTCAAACGGATGTAGCCAATTAAATTTTGGACACCCTTGGACACCCCTCTGGCTTCGCAACAGCCCATTGAGTTTTAACAGACCCTGTAAAGCGTGTGATGGGTTTGGCACAGGGTAATTGAGAATGAATGGGGAAAGTCACATGAGAGGAGGCAATGCCTCCATCGGGCTATGATTGGATAGGATTGGTTATGGTTGGATATGATTGGTTCGTGCGATAAATCCGCCTTGTTTTCGTGCACATTTGCGAATCTATCTGAATAAACTAAATGATTGAGTTGGGAAGACTAAATAAAAAGTAAGTAAACAACTCAGCCACTTAGATATCACCTCTTTATGTCACGTCAAAATTAAACTTGAAATGGCCTCAAAAACGTGATGACTGCTGGGGTTTTTTAGTAAGCAATCAGCTTGGTGAAATTAAAGGTACATCTTCGTATCTGTGATCACCAGTGTTTACCGAGCTCGATGACTGATGATTCGAAAATGAGTTCACTTTGTTTTAATAAATAGAACATTAATTACATTGTTAATTTAAAGATACAAACTAGAATTGCATTTGGCTTCTTTTTTTATGTAATGTTTATTTAAAGCTGCAGTCCGTAGCTTTTTTGGGTTAAAAATTATCCAAAATACATATTTGAGAAAATACATAACCAGCCAGTGTTCAAAACTATCTGCTTGCCGTAGCTCGACTCAAAACGGTAAGCTTGTAATAATGTTTTTAACTCCAGCGGTACTGGTGGATTTCCACGGGAGATTCGAGCATGTCTTTGCGTCATTACGTCACATCTGTACACATAAAGGAGGAGTCTCGGCTAGTAGGCTATATTGCGTGTGAGGATGTTGGAGGTGGAGATTTATAGCCTTTTCTCACAGCACTTGATATAATTAAACTTATCAATTTGATGGCGGATCCAGAAAGGTTCAAACGACAATCACCAGTGACAACAGATTCCCCCGTTGTAAAATGCAACTTACTGTGGCTAACTTACAGAAAAAAAGAGACTGCAACCGGACCCATGCAAAAACAAGGATACATATCGGAAGGACATTATATGTAGTAACGCAATGCTGAGGTTGTTAACATTAACAAGTTGAGAACAAAGTATAATTTGCACAGTTTTGCGTGATAAGCGATTTTTAGATTTAATCAGCGCGATTTACAGCAATGTCAGAACCAGAACAAAAGTGGATGTTACTTACTTGTTCAGATGACATTTTCCGGTGAAAATTATTATGTTAGTCATACTTCCAAAAAGAATAATCTGTGATTCTGAATGCCAGTATCGACACCGGTGCGGTGATTGACAGCTGCACACTCTCCTCAATGTGTTCATCCGCGCTGTGCGGTGTCGAACTACAACTCACGTAAAGTTGATAATTCCGTGAATGACTGCAATTGCCGATTTCGAACAGAGATGGCGACAAAGAGGAAAAAATGCGGACTGCAGCTTTATTTAACCAGGAAAATGTGACAACATTAAGTGTAACTGGGACATGAATTTAAAGTTGATTGATAAATAATAAAAAAACATTAAAAAAAATGTGAGGACTTTGCCTCCTAATTTCAGAACACCACTGTACACCACTGATAGAAGTATATATGCTTTGCATAGAGCATACTTTACATTTTTGAGATTTTGCTTTGAGATTTTAACATGACATACTTCCACTTTTAACACTATATTAGTTTAAATCACACTGGTTTGTGGCTAAGGGATACTGTAATGTTAAAGGGATAGTTCACCCAAAAATGAAAATTCTGTCAGTATTTCTCACCCTCATGTTGTTCCAACCCCATAAGACCTTAGTTCATCTTCGGAACACGAATTAAGATATTTTTGATGAAATCTGAGAGCTGGATCACTCCTCCATAGGCTTATTCAGGGATTGAACTTGCCGGCCTCGAAAAGTTATTAAAGACATCGTTAAAATAGTCCAAGTGACTACAGTGGCTCAATCTTAAGTTTATCAAACGACGAGAACACTTTTGTGCGCAAAACAAAACAAAAATAACGACTTTATTTCAACTATTAATTTCCTTCTCTGTGGGCCTCGAGTCAGTTCACTAGTGTAATAGCGTAAGCTTCTGTTGTTGTATGTCACACGCATCACCCACATGACCAGCGTCGGCCAATAGTGAGCCTACGTGTGACGTAGCTCTACGCAATTACACTAGTTTAACTGACTAGAGGCCCAAAAAGAAGGAAATGAATAGATGAAATAAAGTCGTTATTTATGTTTGTTTTTGCGCACAAAAAGTATTCTCGTCGCATGATATACTTTAGATTGAGCCACTGTAGTCACTTGGACTATTTTAACGATGTCTTTAATAACTTTTCGAGGCCGGCAAGTTTCAATCTCTGTAGAAGCCTATGGACTAGTATGAAGGAGTGATCCAGCTCTCAGATTTCATCAAAAATATCTTAATTCGTGTTCCGAAGATGAACGAAGGTCTTATGGGGTTGGAACAACATGAGGGTGAGTAAATACTGACAGAATTTTCATTTTTGGGTGAACTATCCCTTTAACACCCTTACAGGGTGATCAGGGGCCAGATTCACAAAACATTCTGGAGAATCAAATTCTTCTTATTGTGCTGGTACTTTGTCAGGTTTAGGACTGCCGTGAACAGCTGACTCCTAAAGTTTTTGTTATGCTTCTGCTTCATATGTTGTGCGGTGGTTAGTTCGCAGCAGTGACAGAATTGACCCCATTTTAATAGGGTAAATCACGCTGTGATAGCATGCACTCTAAATGCTAAGTAGTCTAACCTAAACCGAAAAGGCTACATCACGCAGTATGTTTTTGCAAAGTGATGGACATACTCGATTTAATTAGGGACATGCACAAGTACCAATGTGATTTAAAACACATAACACATCAAATAAAATAAAAACGCACCGGAAAGTGCTGAACTCCCCTCAAGCCAGTCATAACTCAAATATTAATGTTAAATCTCAAATAAATAGTTATCAATAAGTTAAGAGTATTACAGTTATCTGCAGGTAGTCCAAAAAGAACTGCAAGAACTGCCAAACCAATCAGATAACACCAAATTAAGCCTGACATTTCATTCTTTAAAAAAAATAAAAGTTCTTATTATAATTTTTCAAGAAATGCATCTAGGAACATTCTTACAAACTAGGGCACCAATGCAGGGGTAATGTATTACACTCTGAAGGTACCTAGGGTTAGAACAGTCAAAATCTAGAAATTGGGATTAGTAGTTCTGAGGTGTAATGGAAATAAAGAAATTCTCAATCAAACCTGCGAGTCCCATCCCTGCCCAGTCAACCGATTCGGACAAGAAGGTGTGCAGGTTGGTCAGCGATGTTTCCTCATTGCACTTGGTGATTAGAGTGTTGGCATCTGTACATAGTCCAAAGTGGTCTAACCCTTCTTTGAGGACAGGCAGCAGCAGGGTCTCACCTCCATTCCCGAGATTATCAAAATCATCCATGTACTCTTCACTAGTATCATTATTCTCCACAGAGGACGACGATGATAGCGACATAACATCCAAAACCTCCAAGAAAGGGCCCAGACTGCCTTCAACTTCCTTTACTTCAAATGAGGTATCATTTGGGGTAGTTTCAATACTTTCATTGTTGGTGGTTGGTTCTGAACTGGTTTCTGATATCTGTGTGGGATCTTGGATATTTTGACTCAATTCTGCTTCTTTTTGGACAGTTTCGGGGACAACAGGACGGAGATGTTTGTTGAGTGTTGGTCGTGTAAGTCTATAACTGAGCATAGATGTTTTTTTACCTGAACAGCTGGGTAAAAGTGATTTCTTTATTGTGGTCGTTGGCAAAAGATGATCAGTAGTAGTTACAGAGGGCCTTGCAATCCCATATTTACCTACTTTCCCTTCAGATAATACTGGATTTGGCTGAATGAGGGGTGATCTAGCCACTGGAGATTTTACTAAAGGTCTGGGGAGTTCTTTAGCAAGCTCTGTAGCTTTGTTAAAGGAAAAGGAACGGGTCATGGGTGGGCTGGTGGGGCAGGCTGCCCTCTTGAAATGGGTGAAACTCTGAGAGTGCGCTATGCTCTCTTTAGAGGAAGACTTGATGCTGTCGTTGGGCAGGGACAGTTTGCCCTGCAGGGTTCTTTGTTGGGATACATGACCAAGACAAGGCCCTGAGGTGCCATAACGCCCATTACCACCACCACCATTACCACCATGCAGAGTAGCTATACCATTATAGAGGGGATTCCCTGTGGAGAGGCGTTTGGGAGTAGTCATGCGGGGAATGGTTTTGCTCGGCTGGGGTATACTCCTGGGACAGCTACTTTGTGAAGTTGGGACTGCACTCTTACATTTAACTGCAGCTGCAGGGGAAGGATTTTTAGTCACCATCACTGGGGACTGAGAATCTATAGTTATACTACTCTCCTCATCCAAGCAGCCAGAGTGTTGAACTTTATTTCCACTGTCCTCTTCACCCTTTCTCCAATTTAGGGATGGCACACGTGTCAAACTAGTGTGCCTGCCTATAGGTCCAACTTTAGACTCCATGGAGGAAACCGGGAGGGCAGATCCTTTGGGAAGGGGGGTCATGGTGGTGACTGAGGGATGGGAAGCAAACTTGGGAAGCCTGGAAACCATGTTGAGCTGTTTGACAGCGTTCCTTTCCATCAGCTAGGTTCACCACCATGGATGTGGACAAAACTGCAAAAAGAGAAAGAGAGACATGATGAAATATGAAAAAAAAGCTAATTGTTTGCAAGTTGTACACAACAGCCAGTGTTTTAATGTCACACTGATGAGATGGCCATTTCATATTATTTTACATGCACGTTCTGTGATTTAAAGACAGAAAAATGTGTAAACTTCCAAAAAAAAATCTAATTTGGCATGATGATAATGCACGCAAGGGTAAGTGAAGTTTCAGCAGTTTAAACTCCTTTCCTTGGTGCTGAGCATGTTGCATTTTTGTTAGGACTACATCACTGCTGATTATATATAATGAATAGGGAGGGTTTCCTCTAAAGCTTTCAAGTTGGAATGTAATGCAAGAAGGAACACATTAGACAATTTTCAAAGTCATCGGATCACTGTACTTCTCTCACTACAAGACTGTCTGGGGTACAATTTAGTTGCTGTTGTGGGCAGATTACACATTGAATCGGTGAGAGGGGGTCACACATTACATTTCAAAAGGAAGAATCGCTTTGTCTGCTGTGTTTTTTCCACCATCTTGAATAAAAATAAAAAATAAAACTTTTTCAAACTCGTCCTAGCCGGTTCATCTAAAAAAATTTTTTTTACCACTGTGCACAAATAATGTGCGAACAAATTTGTCAAAGTGCACGTCAATATGTACGGCTATATCTCTGCAGCGCTTTAGTGTAATCGGACTAGGGTGGGCGATATACCGGCAGACACGATTAACCGGTAGAAATGTGTCAACGGGTAGAGATTTTGGACTATCGTCTCTATCGCGGTTAGGCTCATGTGACGTTGCTGTGCTGCTTTGTCACGAAAGCTTATCATTTGCATTGCGGTTTAAAAACAGGTGATTTTAAACAGTTGAAACACAATAAGCAGCGAAATAGAACTTATTTCAGTATATGCACGTGCTCTCTAAGAGACTGTTTCTCAGCGCTGTCTAAGAGATGAATGAAATGAAGCCGCTGCTCATAGAGCGCAAGCACTGAACTGAGTGCTTTTTGCCATGTAATTAGGCTTGAACAGTTAAATATACCTATGTGTCAAACTGACCATGTATTTGCAAGTAAACAGTCATTTATGTCTTAAGTGAACTTTAACAGTTGAGAGAGAAAACGCAGAAGTATATTGGATCCGTGAAGTCGGTCTTAAAGTGACAGCATCCAAATTTACAAAAAAAGAGAAAATATATCTGTTCTTGACTGAATCACTTTTGTAACTTTAATAAGAATAAATTTATATTTAATTTACAAAGTAAAGACTATGCATTGTTTTTGTTCATACATTTGATTACTTAATACATTTTATGTAGTATTTAGTGCTTGAAGTTTTTCAGGTAGGTCTATTTCATTTGTGTATTTGTTCTATTGTAGTTTTTTTTGTTTTTTTTTGCTCTTTTTTATCACTGTTTACTTATCTTCAGTAAGGTTGAGAGCTTTTTAGGCTAGTAGTAATTATATTGAAAATGGTGATAAGAATTATGAAATTTCAATGGTATAAAAAATGTATATCATAAAAACCTTATTTAAAGCAAAAATAACTATATTGTGAATGTGTTATATATTGTTATCGTGAAATACAATTACTCATATCGGGGAATAAGATTTCGGTCGCCCACCCCTAATTCAGACCAAATTTGGTACACGTCATCAAAAATATGACCTGAGGCTACTTGCTTGTTTGCTTACAGGGCCACCTAGGAGATTTGAAAAAATAAATAAATAAATCATAAATCTGGTATCTTTCGATTCAGTGCAGCATACAGAGTTGAATTATACCAAATATTATTCCCATGTCAACCCTTTTAGGCATTGACCATTTTGAATTTTGTCATAAAATGCACATTGGCATATCATTACGAAACTTGGTATGTCATCGGCACAATGCTCAGTGATTATAATTGGAGCGCTGCAAACAGCACATTTCAAAGTTTCTGAAATGACAACCTTATTTAAACGGTGGATTGAATCCGAAACTGCAATGATTGTCAGTGATAATAATAATAATAATATATTGTCATTGCAGTGATACAAAGAAATTACATTAGAGCATCAATCGACAGTGCAATTTCATGAAGTGCAAGAGATCAACAATAGCATATTTTGTAAACAGGGCACAGCGGCAAATGACAACCAAGGAAAATGGTATATGAGGCGGAGAATCACTAGTAACCAGGAAAAAGAGTATACTTGTATGTGCTGCAGCGATGCAAAGTCCAGTCACAATTATTGCAATTGTTGGATAATATGCATAATAGACGGATTTATGTGAGATCAACAATAGCACAGAAACAGGGCAAAGTGACATAACAAACAAGGAAAGGGCATATGAGGTGAAAAATAACTATTAACCAGAAAATGTGTATAATTGTGTGTGCTGCAACAATGCAAAGTCCAGTTCACAGTTATTGCAGTTGTTGGGTAGTGTTAAGTGAGTGGATTAAGTGAGAGGAGGAGGTAGCCGGGAATGGTGCTTATTCAGCAGTCTAACTGCCTGGGGGTAGAGGCTGTCGGCCATTCTGGTGGTTCTGGCTCGAAGAGACCTGTACCTCCTGCCCGATGGTAGCAGGCGGAACAAGCCGTGTGCTGGATGAAACCGATCTCTCATGATGTTGTGTGTCCTACGCAGACAGCGGGAGGTGTACACAGATGAGATCTCCGGGAGGACAGTCCCGATGATTTTGCCTGCAGTTTTCAACACCTTCTGAATCAACTGCAAGTGATGATCACCATAGCAATGGAATGAGGCAAAACAAACCCTGATCTGTATGTCAAAACAGATTAAGTCTTAAAAGCAAATAATTGATCTACCGTCTTGTTCTGTTACTTTTTATAGGAAGATTGCACTTTTTGTATAATTCAATTATAGTAATTCAATAATAAAAAATTAAATAAAAATGAATTGTATTACTTCAGTTTTACTTAGTATGGAGCACTGAGAAGTGCTGTTTCTCTTACGAGAGGTTCTCTCGTATTGCGTAAGTTTAGCTTACGCTACGGGAAAGATTCATCTTCTCGAGATATTGAAGCCAAAAAATTATCCTTCATTTTGTATTCATTGTCAACGCAGTGCAGCAGCTAGCAGACATAGAGCAGGCAGTCTTGCGTGCTCATTGGCTGCCCTGCGGGCATCTGCTGCAGCCTACCAGTGAGCCCCGCGTGACGCCACGCCCAATGAAGGGCGCTCGCGCCTTCATAGCGTCATAGCCCGCCATAATGGGCGTGGCTTAGCGTATAAAAGAAGGGGCTGTAGGCTGAATTCCCTGATTTTCGTCTCTTCAGCGAAGCCCTTCGCATCGCTGGATCTGAGAGAAGCCACCGCCGCCGTCGAACAGCGAACAGCCAGCTTAGGACAGCGCTGAGGAAGCCGGCCGTCTTCGCCACCTTCAGCCATCCGTGCGAGCTACCGCTACACACAAGCACATCAAATCTCGTGTCACTCACAGAGCACACTCTCATAAAGCGCAGAAAAGCCGCTTGAGTGTTGAATATAAGAAATGTGTCCACAGGTCTGTGCCCACTATCTGCCCACTCTGTTACACGGTCAATAAAACAGGTTATGAATGTAAGTCTCGTGCCCGCCGGAGAGCGTTCACGCTTACTAACACACACCTCCCCCCGGGCGCCGCCCGCGCGTTTAAATGTTATCACAAAACGCAGGGCATTGATAAGACGCTCCCCATCCGTTATGATCGGGGCGTCAAATACACTTGTAAGTCTGAATCTCAAAGCTTTCGGGTGTTTTTTCGGTTCTCTCTAGAGAGGGAACGAGTATTGCGTAACCGGCCGTGCTCGCGCCACGAGCGACTTCGATTCAGTCGACGAAAACCAGGGAATTCAGCCTACAGCCCCTTCTTTTATACGCTAAGCCACGCCCATTCTGGCGGGCTATGACGCTCTGAAGGCGCGGGCGCCCTTCATTGGGCGTGACGTCACGCGGGGCTCACTGGTAGGCTGCAGCAGATGCCCGCAGGGCAGCCAATGAGCACGCAAGACTGCCTGCTCTATGTCTGCTAGCTGCTGCACTGCGTTGACAATGAATACAAAATGAAGGATAATTGTTTGGCTTCAATATCTCGAGAAGATGAATCTTTCCCGTAGGGTAAGCTAAACTTGCGCAATACTCGTTCCCTCTCTAGAGAGAACCGAGGTTACGTTAGTAACCGAGTACGTTATGTTGTTTATATATTGATGCTTGAAAACAAGCAACACATTTGTTACTGCAGTTGCATGCAGTGTTCTTAATAAAATAGTTTTTAATTCAGTTATCTTTTGAGGCTGCTTAGTCACCTATGGTATCGATTTAGTATGGATACCGAGGTATTAAGATTCTGGTATCGTACCGAAGCCAAATTTGTGGTATTGAGCCAACCCTAGTTGGCGCAATAAGCAACCTTAAGCTTTAGCTAATAACTCTGCAACTGTGTGTGACAGAATTCAAATTCTTATTTCTTCTGAATCCCTGCTTTAAGGCCGAACAAAATAAAAAAATGTATGATTATCTAAAAACTTTATCCACCATTCTAATTTTTTTTTTTTTAAGTGACTTTTTCAAACTCCTCTTAAGCCATTTGTCAGACCCTTAACTTTCCCCACATCAGATCTAGACCATGCTGACAAAAAGTTATGTATTTTAGAAGATTCAATTATTTGCATGTGCCTGGTATGACCCCTTATTATGACTATTATGTTTATATCTTGTGTGCACAAAGTCTGCACTTCTCAAAACTTTGCACATATGGAGAAGAAGTCAAGAAGTGAACACACTTATGAATTTATGATACAGCAAATTCTAAACTGTCAGCCATTTTAACTGGAAAATGAAAGCTATTTTATTAATGTTGCTCACTAGAGGGAGCCGCAGAAAAAGGAATCACCATGTTCTTCTAACCAGATGTGATGTGATTCCAGCTACAAGAAATGTTTCAGTCCAGACTCAACAAAAAAGAAGAGACAAAAATCAACCACAACCCACAGCCAATCTGATGACCATGTGGTGGG